TTATACTGCAGATCAAACCCTACTGACATACGCCAACTGCCATGAAGTGGACTAAAGTAAGAATCATTATGATTTTTTTCATAAGAAATGTATTGATGTCTAGAACTAAGTGCTGTGTTCTGAAAGGCATTTGCCTTTTTTAGACTGTGGCTGAACACTTAGGATATCAGTTTCATCTACTGACCCTTAAAATCCTGTACGCTGCAGATGCAAATAGTGGTGTTTTGATACCCCTCAGCAACATAGTGACCCAATGCAAGAAATCAATCTGGAATGTCAAGAGTGGGACTGTCACAATCATGAATTTTTTGCTGATTGTCATATAAATAATTGTGACAAATACAGATGACTGTCCTTAATGTTTCCATCTATGTGACTTTTTAAGTACAAACCTAATGAAGTGATGGCTAATCCTGCCTCCTAGCTATGTTTACTGAATAAAATTTCTATGAGAGTGAAAATATAAGCAAAAAGAACCCCTCATTCTGCTAGCATACATGCTAAAATCGTTAGCTACATAGCAAACACATCAACAAACATTACTTGCGCTGCCCTCTAAACATCTCAGAGAGTAAGGTTAGAAGTTTTAATGAGTCCCATATGTCTCCATGAATGTGAATTTACATATTTCTGCCTCCACCCAGTGCAGTCAGCTAAAATAATTTCCATTAGGCAATTATATAATAATTGTGAAAGGCCTAGGTTGGAGTTCTTTCTGTGCCAAAACACAATTATAGTGTCCAGCTGCACCTGGAAGACACATTTGTTATAGTAAAGCATTCAGATGTTTTTCCTATCAAGGACTGATAAGTGCAAACTCAGCCTGCAGAAGTTCTCCATCAGTGGATGCAAATGTTTGGTCTGCTATTTGGTTGGTGGTTACAACTGAACATCAAACATGCCGCACCATTATGAGAGACATGTCAGTAGATATATGACTGTGATTAATCAAATTGGGTAACAGATTACCGCTCATTCACTGGACAGTGCTCTCTGGACATTACATAGAGCTTTAGTGAAGTGTTGTATCGGTGACTTTCTGAGATAAAACTTAACCAGGTTCTCATCATCTAAATCTAAACCAAATTCCTTCAGTAAAATTGTACAGTTTATGTTTATAGGACAGGATGTAATTTGGTAGCAATTTGGATGGACCGAACATGAAAATAAATGATGCTGACATTTTTGACCCACTTCATTTTCCAAACCTCTAAATTCTAAATTTACAAATCACAGTCAAAAGACAAGATATGTAATGTTTCACTTTATCAGCTTTTTTTATGAATATATATACATTCAGAAATTAAACTGGATCAGTTTGATTACATGCTGTTAAAAGGAAAGGTAATATAACACAGTGGTAAACATGCTCCTGTCCCAACTTATTTGGAACAAAAAAGTTCTTAAGGTAAAACAAAACATACTGTGTTTTTGTACCTTTTTTACAATTTAAAACAGGTCAAACTACATTTCCTTATCACTGATTTCTGTTTTATACCAATTTCACACACTGTCCCAACTTTTTTGGTATTGTGTTCAAAATTCCAAGTATCTTGGAGCTGAGTCTTGTTTGCTTTTACCTTATTGCTCTAACAATGATGGTGAGGTCTAGAGTAAGATAGGCACAAGTCAAACTTTACTAACAGCAGAGGAAAACCAACTCAAAGTATAAAGCCAGTTCAGTACCAGCCTCAGGCCAGGCAACCAAACCAGTAAAGAGTCCAAATCCAAGTAAACCTGAAGACCCACTACAAAAACAATCTCAAGGCTTAGAATTGCAAGAGCTCAAAGATGACTTTTCAAAGTTGCTAACAAAATAATAGCATGACAAATGATAAAAAATCAGATAGTTAAACTGGAGGTGAACGTGGCCTCTGCAGGTGAGGAGGGGAATCCCCTGTTAAGGATGTGACAGTTACCTTTCACAAATGTTTGGTAGACCAGTGAAAGCCAATCCCAAAGAATAGTTACAACATCATATCCATAGTGCTTATTGAAACGTACATGCTATAAGCAGCTAGGACTTCACACAGTCTTAAAGACACAGTAAAACAGCTTGTTTAACTCTAATGGATAGCGAGAGCTTAGAAAATGGTCTTGTAAAAACTGATTACGACTGTTTTTAGTGCATAAAATAACACAAATGTTTTATCTATAAAGTGGACCTCAGAGAGAGAAATAAAACACAAGGAAACTGTAATATATGGGCCTTTATAGCCTGTAAGAAATGCATGTAATATATTCTTGATGTTGTATCTTGAAGTTTTACAGGGAATCCTGCAATTTAAATATTGTTAGAGGAGCCTTCACTGCTGTTCTACGTCACTCAAAGATCAAACATATATTTCATAGTTTTTTTCAAGCTATACGTGCCTTATTCGAATACCAGAATGAGAACTGAGTGAGTATGAAGAGCTTAGATATCCATATATCCACAAATAATAACATTCATCCACATAACTTAATATTTAAGCTTTGCTGTATAGCATCACTGTCACTTATAGAACATAATTTACTTTCAGTTTGTTCTATTACTGGTCTTCAATACCTCTACCCACTTTGTCCCCCTCCAGAGACGTTGTCACGGATATGCTGAAGTCCACACTTGCCCTGTTGTTTGTTCTGTGAGCTTTGCTGCCCTCTGTTGGCCAAACAGAAAAAAACCTTCAAGACAAAAGACACAAGTCAAAGTCAAGTCAATGTTTATTTATGTAGCACTTTTTACAGCAGGCGTTGTCACAAAGCAGCTTTACAGAAAAATCTGGGTCCAAGCTACCATGAGCATCGCCAATGGTGACAGTGGCAAGGAAAAACTCCCTAAGAGCAAGAGGAAGAAACCTTGAGAGGGACCAAGGACTCAAAAGGGGAACTCATCCTCCTCTGGTCCACATTAACACAAAGACCAAAACGAGCAGAGAATAAAGTAGAACATCCCACATGGCAAAAACTGTCAAATGGAGATGGCAAATTAAAATCATGATGTGTCACAAAGGTCAAACAATGTCCAACCCAGTCACTTTCATGCAGGAAGAGAGTAAATAATAATGATATGAATGACTTAAAGATTTAATTCTGCAGAAATGATACAGTCTTCTTTTAGTAACTACATCAATCACTTTAGCTTCTACTATGTAATAGCAAATATAAAGTGGTTTGTAGTAGTGGTGTGATAACAGATCCTACTTTCTGCAATAAATAAAGACCATCATCACCAACACAAACGTAGTGTCATATGGTAAAGACAAAGAAATCACAGTGTTTTTGCCCAAACACATCACTCACACAACCCCAAGAAGTCTAGCAGGTTAATACTCATATTATAAAGTTCCATTCTTCTCACACAGGTTCCACAACATGACACTGACTCCCCTGCTGAAAAAAAAAAAACATAGAAACCATGAAGTGTTTCTGTTGGTTCCTGGTGGTTTTGTAATGTGTTTTGGCTTTTCTAATGGATTGATATCACAATGTAAAGGGTCCTAATGGTTTAATAGGTGACCAACAGCTGACTCAGAATGCATTTGATGGTTTCTTAGTGGGTTTCCTTTACTGCAGTGCTGTGCGCAGTCCCAAAATCTCAACCTATGAAGTATTCTGAAGGTGAAATGCACAGGTAGGACCAAGAGTTTGGGACTAGTTATTTTGAAATTGTAAAGTCTGATTCATGAATTGTGTTTAATCCATCAAAGAAAACAGAGGAGTTATCTGATTCAGTTGTGTTGTAAATGTGGTCTGCATTTACAAACATTTGTGAAAGAAAGGGTTGTTCTAAAGAGCTCACTGATTTTGAGCGTGATGCCACTGTTGCAACAAGTAGTTTGCAAAATTTCTTCCCTCCTAGATATTCCACGATCAACTGTGAGTGATATTACTGAAAAGTGGAAGTATTTAGGAACCCCGGCAATTCACAAAGTCACAAACTATGTAAAGTTACTCGGGTCGCCGAGTGCTGAGACACATAATGCATAAAAGTTGCCGACACTCTGCACTGCAGAGCCAAACCTCCTCTGGCATTAACAACAGCACAAAAACTGTGCGCCAGGAGCTTCATGTCATGGGTTTCCATGGCCGAGCAGCTGCATGCAATCACGAAGCACAATGCCAAGCTTTGGATGGAGTGGTGTAAAGCAGGCTGCCACTGGACTGTAGCAGTGGAAACGTGTTCTGTGGAGTGACAAATCACACTGCTCTATCTGGCTATCCAATGGACGCGTCTGGGTTTGGTAAACGCCTGGAGAACGTTACCTGCCTGACTGCTTTACATGTAAAGTTTGGTGAAGGAGGGATGATGCTATGGAGTTGTTTTTCAGGGGTTGGCCTAGAACCCTTAGTTCCAGTGAAGGGAAATCTTAATGCTTCAGCAGATCAAGACATTTTGAACAATTATATGCTTCCAACTTTGTGGGAACAGTTTGGGGAAGTCGCTTTTCTGTTCCAGCATGACTGAGCCCCAGTGCACAAAGCAAGCTCCATAAAGTCATGGTTGGGATAGTTTGGTGTGGAAGGACTTGACTGGCCCACACAGCGTCCTGACCTCAACCCCATCAAACACCTTTGGGATAAACAAGAACAGAGATTGCGAGCCTCTCTTCCAACATTAGTGCCTGACCTCACAAGTGCTCTTCTGGATGAATGGGCAAAGATTCTCACAAAAATTTTGTTGAAAGCTCCCAGAAGAGTGAAAGCTGTTATAGCTGCAAAGGGGGACCACCACCACATTAATGCCTATGGATTTAGAATGGGATGACATAAAAGCCCCTGTAGGTGTGATGTGTGGGTGTCCCAATACTTTTGTCCATTTGTATGCGAATGCACAATAGATTATGCAAATGCAAATGTCTCTCTCAATGTGATGCTATTTACTCACAAGCAATTCAAAATCTTTCCTGTTGAGAGTTTGTTGCTGGATTGAACACTAGAGGGAGCTCTGAGGATTCTAACCTATTCTCCTGAGTCAAAGAGGAAACAGTGAGGCTGCCTGTTCACCACTTTCTCTTTCTTCTTCCTGGCTTAAGATTTTAACCTGTTTGCTGGGCACCCAAGCCAGGGCGCTACAGTAACGACCACCAGACCAAAAAAGGAGCAGAAAGAAACCCATTCTGTACACAAAACACTGAGGAAACTGAATCCGATTTGGCCCTCACTGACGTACTCTGCGGTAAGTCACTTATCTTGTCTCCTCTCTATATTTTAGGCCATATTTGGATCTGAGTGTTCTGGTCTTGCAGTTTCCTTTTTGCCCTTTGCCTTGTCTCTGGATATTCAGTATATAGTCAGCTGTGCTGCCTGTGTTTTGACCTCTGCTGAGTGTAATGATGCCAGTTAATGGAACAGAGCTTGTGCCTTTTATACTTTTACAGTATGAACTCTGCTGTGTTTTCTGTCAGTAGACTCAGATCTCCCTGAATGTTTGTGCCTGTTTTGGTAATTAGGCTACTGATGGGACATTTAACCACAAGAAGTTCCTGTAGTATTCATTCAAAAGTCTTTGGTAGCACTTTACATTACACATTGGTAATAAATGAGTAATGATATGGTAATATGACAGTAACAAGTGGCACTTTCCAAAAATGACATGTTAATGTTCAAGTTGTTATTAAATAATAGGTTTGTAATTGTAGCAATGACAAGTTCATAATAAAATGGTTATATAATGGTAATAAGTAATACTAACCTAAAACTGACATGCTACTTTTTGAGTTGATACAAAATAATAAGTTAGTATGATAACGGTTACAAGTTAGTAATAAATTGTTATATAATGGTAAGAAGTAATACTAACCTTAAAATTAGTTAGAGTTGTAAATAAGTAACTAAGTAATAAGTTATAACTATAATGGTAGCAATTTAGTAATAAAATGGTTACATAGTGGTAATAAGTTATACTAACATAAAACTTATATGGTAATTGTTTGTTATTAAATAATAAGTTAAGATGAAGAGAAACCTCTTGTATAAAGGTATATGTAGTGTGGTGTCAGTTTTTTTCCACCGCTGAACTCATTTCTGAACCTTTTTTGTCAGATCTGTGCTCTATGGTAGAATAACAGTATTTTGTTAACAGATAACACAAAAGTAATGTGATGTTGTATTTCCTGGATTCTGTATAATCTCAGTATATTCACCTCATCACAGCACGTGTCTACAGGAGCGCCTACGTTTAAAACTAATAGAACAATCATGCAGACACTTCCATAACATAATGGCAGTTGATTTAAATGCAGTTACTCTTTTTATTTTAAAGGACTAATGTTGTAATCTGAGAAAACAAGATGTAAAAAAGTAAATTTGCATTTTGCAGCTCCACTACCATTTAGTTTCACTGTAAGTACAGCGTTGTGTTTGTGCATCGTTCTGCATATTATTATTAAAAGCCATAAGAAACTAAGTAGAACTGTGTGAATTAGTATTTCACAGCACTAACAACACATCATTGCAGCAGAACTGCTTTATTGTTTCTGTGGTAACCCTAACATTATAAAACCCTATAATGATTTCAAATGATTGATTTGATATGTTGATTAAGCAGTTATTATGCTTTAAGAGCTAGACACCCGGTGTATAATATCAAACTGAAAATCAACATTTAACATTTATTTATGCACAACTGTAATTTGGTACACTCTCAGAAATAAAGGTGGTAAACTGTCACTGGGGCAGTACCCCTCTTGTTACTGGGGTGGGACCCTCAAGGGTACATCTCAGTACCTTTAGTCAGGGGACATAACTGTACCATTATCCACTGATATTATATTTTCTAAGTACTGACTCCACACACCTCGTCTCGCCTCCAGGCTTTTATTTTATTGTTCTGTTTTACAACATTCGGTTATGAAAAGGTACAAATACAAACTTTTCACCTGGAAAAACTTATTTAAGGTTCACAGTTGGACCTTAAAACTACTGTTGTACCTTTGTAGGTACATTTACATTGTTTTTACTTTGAAGAATGAAAAATGTACCTGCACAGAACCTTTATTTTCAACTCTGTACAATTATTTTTCTAGTTACCGCAACAATAACTAACTTAATAACAACCAGAAAAATAGCATGTCATTTTTAGGTTAGGTACAGCTTTTTACTGTTATTTAACCATTTTATTACTGATTTGTTACCATTAAATTATTAACTTATTATTTAGTAACAACTTGAAAATTAGCATTTCATTTTGTGTTAAGAACAACCTGTTACTGTAATATTACCATATCATTAACCACTTATTGTGTGACCCTTCGAGTTAGAAAAATCAGATCTGACCAAAATTCTGAATTGAGCAACGAAACTTGAAATGTGAGCGTAGCCTAAATGCACTCATAGGCACACATTTGAACCTAACAAGCCAGCTGGTAGTGTTTGTAGATTGGAAGTGCTAATCATATCCATCATTCCAGTTGTTTACATTGGTTAGTGATGTTAAGTAGGAAGCCTGGAGTTTATAGTAGTTTGAGATGCATGTTTTCAAATTGTATTAGATGTCATAAAACATTTGGCAGTCAGAGCTGAGACACTTGTGTGAGTGGATCATTGTAAAGTGTTGCACAGATTAAACATTTCACAAGTTTTCTGGATAAACTGTCCCTAAAAAGCACTAAAGAACAGGAGACAGCTGCCCTAAGTTCAATGCAAATGAAAGGTTATTGGTGTGAGATTGGTCAGCAGTGTTTGAAACAATTTATTTGGCTAGTTTAAAGGCTTTATTTTGACTTTCATTTGATTTTGATGCCAAAGCTGGCAATGAATGCTAAACCAACCAAGTAAATGAAAAGACAGAAGTATAGTTGGACGTTAGTTTTACATATTTTCATGATTTCAGTATAAAAACTGAACAAGTGATGTCAGTATAAAAACTTTAGAATTTAGAACCATTGACCAACTGTGTTTGCACACAGAGGGATTAGACCTCCATATTTAACCCATCCGTGCTGTGAAACACCCACATACATGCACACTAGTGAACACACATGCAAGGGGGCACTGAGCACACTTGCCCGGAATGGTGGGCAGCCCTATCCATTGCGCCCGGGCAGCAGTTGGGGGTTAGGTGCCTTACTCAAGGGCACTTCATTCATGTACTGTCGGCTCAGGGAATCAAACTGGCGACCTTCCGATCACAAGGCTGGTTCCATAACCTCCAGCCCTCGACTGCCCCCGTTTTTATAACTTTTAACTGATTTTTATCTCAGTATAAAAATATCTAAATATATATACACTGAACTTTATTACCACATTGTTAACACCCGCGGAAAAAGGGCTCCCTACTTCTGAAATCTCAATACACCCCATGCACCTATCACAAATTAAAAGTTAATTTACTGACCTGAACTGCCCTTATCGACTTGGCCTCACTGTTTCCCTTTAGCTGAAACCACAATGGCATTTTAAGGGCCGTTAAATATTATATTAGCACAAATGGATTTTATTTAATTGTATATACTAGTGCTTGGATGGTCAATGGGATATAAGTCAGCATAACTTCAGCAGCAGAATTTATCCAGAAATCATTGAGTTTACATCAAATGAAAGTCACAACAAAGTTTTAAAACTGAAAAAAATGGGGACAAAGCTGTTCATAATCAGTAGTAATATAATATGTTAAAGGCAGATATCTTACACTGTTCTTATATTTTATTGTTCTCTTTATGGTCCATTTATAACATTTGTCTGATTTTATGTACCAAAAATGACCCATTGTTACACGACTACTTTCCATCCTCCAAGCCCCCGTAACCCAGCCAATGGCGACAGCGGCAAGGAAAAAGTCCCTAATAGTAAGAGGAGGAAACCTTGAGAGGAACCAAGACTCAAAGGTCGAACCCATCCTCCTGTGGTCAACATTGGATAGCAAAGTCAGTAATACAAGAGCAAAATGACCAGAGAATAAGATTTTACAATTAGAATAAAATATTAAAATACGGGACTGTATGGACTGGAGAGTGAATGGTTTCACACATGCAACTTCAAGGTCAGTTGCATTTAATAGATATTTAGTTGAAAGTTAGTTAAAAATAGACTGAATATCTACAAAGCGCCTACAGTGGGCCATCCAAATAAAGTGTGACCGATTTCTGTAGCACAAAAACAGACAAAAATTTGAAAACATAGTTCAAACAAATGAATCTGGTGTTAAATGTATGTTCTTTTCTTTTAGGATTGAAACGTTGGTAGCAAGCTGCCTCCATAATGTTGAAAATGCTGGATACTGCTGAAAATAATGCTGACAGGTCCCTAGTACCCCTTGAAAACATGAAGTACCGATGGGAGAAGTGGCCAGGAGTGTATGGTACAGTTTCAGAGGTATGTATGAGTTTCTAATGAACACTGTGGTGGTTTGTATTTTTAGAAGCCATGTGAATCATTTTCCCAGTATGAGTCTCAAAGAAAGCTTTGAATCACGAAGTATTTGCTCTGTTGGTGTTGTGACTGCATGCACTCACAAAGCAAAGAGTCACATTTCATACAATTCTGTTACAGATTGACCGTCTGAATGATTGATCTTCTTAGTTTACTTTTTAATGCTTCAGTAGATGCTGAAGCGAAACACAAAGTGTAGTTTATCTTGTTGGACAGAAGCCTTGTTAAGGTGTTTTCACACCTGAGTCAGGACTGAACTAGACCACACAACACTTTTATCACTGCTAGTACTGAACAGATGGACATCTATCTTTATAGCATTCTTCAGTAAAAGACATGAAAGCCACTTGTAATTAGCCAAAAAGGACATAAAGGACTAACAGTCCATGACAAACATGGTTCTATAGTCTGATCAAACTAAGATTGAGCTTATTGGCCTAAATGCCAAGTGTTACTTCTGGAGGAAACCGGGCACGGCTCTTATAGCTGCAAGTTTTATCTCTACAGTGAAGCATGATGGTGGCAGAATCATGTTCTTGGGATGGTTTTCAGGAGTAGCGTCTGGTAGACTTGTCAGCAGATAAAGTCACACACTAGATCAGCAGAAGAAAAAACTGTGGAACAAGACAGCAGAGAGCAGAAGCAGTAAGAAAAAACAAAGAAATTAAATTATAACTTTCACCATACATGACAAAAAAGTTCAACAACCATCCATACACAGTAGTCATGCTCTTTCACCGTTCTCCTGGTTCCCATGGATGTTACTTTTCCAAACAAATCCAAGTAATCAACTAAGATCATGCTTTGAGTTTTTGGGAAACTTTAAACAATGTAACACTGTATTACTGCATATCATTGTTGTTGCACCTGAATCTCAGACAGTTCTGACAGCGTTGATCATTTTTTTTTTTTACAGTATTGTACAACATATACAGCGCAGCCAACAGCATTTATGGAAAGGGCCCTTTTCATGGGTATTTAAAAAGGTATAGATAATCAAAGCTTTTGATGTGAAATCAGCGGCTGCTGTTTGTCTGTATTTTGACAAAGAGTGCTTTGTATTTCTCGAGCACTGCTGTGGGTTTAAGATTAGAGAGGAGGAGGCAACATAGTGTACACTGGATTTGGATCAAGATGACAAGAGAAAAAGATTTTTATTACTGGGCAGATGACAGGAGCTTCAGTTATAAAGACTGCTTTATGATACTGTTTCGATAGGAACAGTGACTAAAGTGACCTCTGCATTTAGATCTATGATAAAGACATCACTGAGCTGTGGTCGAAAGTGCACACGCAGTGAAAGTGATGCTCGTGTATTAGTGTGATATGTAATATCCACTGTTCCTCGGGTGACTGAGATTGTTAGTGCATTATGTGATCAGACTGTGTCAACAAGAACAGTGTATACATATTATAGCAGAGTTGCAGTGCATAAACCCCTCAGAGTCAGATGTACATTTGTGAGTTTAGTGGTGCAAAACCATCAGCACTGGTCTGCAGAGATGTGGAAAAACGTTATGGTCAGATGCGTCATTCTTCACCACACTCTCCACAAATGAGCAAGAGCATGTGCAGCAAGAGAACAGAACAGGTCTGAATGCCCCCAACCTTCCCCCTATATAACTAACAGAAGTTCAGAAGAAGATTAGTAATTTTACTTTAGCCAAGGCAGCGTTCCACCCCTCTGCAATCCTAGCCTTGGTCTCGTGTATACAAGCTTTTGAAAGCTCTATTGAGATGATATCCAGTAAGGTTAGAGCCCAACAATGTCTACACAATGAAGATGTGGGGTTCCAGTGTTTAAAACTCTACCATAATGAAGGATGAAGATTTTAAATGTATTAAAAAAAATAATGAATCTGGTTTTAAAATTGTGTTCTTCTCTATTAGGATTGAAACTTCTAAAGCAAGCTGCCTTCAGAATGAAGCCAAAAACAATGCTGCCACATTCCTAGTACTGGTGGGAGATGTGACCAGGAGTGTATGGTACCATTTCAGAGGTATGTATGAGTTTCCAATGAACAACGTAGTGATTCGGATTTTCAGAACCCATGTGAATCATTTTCCCAGTGTGAGCTTCTAAGACAGTTTTGAATTGCAACGTACATGTGCTCACAAAGCATATACTCGCATCATTCTGTGACAGACTGACCACAGACCAGGTCATAACATATTAAAGTAAACACAGCTTCATTTGTGCCGGTTTTATTCTCTCATGTGAGCTCAGTGCACATATACGAAAACCTGAATGCTTTAACTTCTTAATTTACTCCTTAATGCTTCAGTAGAGGCTGAAGCTGAACACAAAGTCTAGTTTATCTAGTTGATCAGAAAACTTAAGGCATTTTCACACCTTCAGTCAGTGAAGATTCACTCTGCTGTTATTGAGTCTGAAGCATCTTGACCAACAGCGCTGGCTTGCATTGTCATAGCTTCGCTTGTGCTTGTTGACTCTGATTGACAGTTTGGCCCTTGATTAGTTTCCTTTGTACCACAATCTTGATATTTAGCCCTGCATTACTTAATACTGAGTGATTTGTTTGACAATTACACAGAACTTACAAGCATTGAAAAATCGCCAAGGATAAAAAAACCCAATAAAGGCCATAGGCTTATTTCCACTGTGGTCCTAAAGTGACCTCTGCTTTAGATCTGAGCGAAAGACATCATTAAACTGTGGTTGAAAGTGCACGTTCAGTAAGTGCTCTTGTATTAGTGCGATATGTGAGAGCAACTGTTCTCTGAATGTCAGTGCACTATGTGATCAGACTGTGTCAACAAGAACAGTCTGTCCACAACTGCATATTTATATATACACATTATAGTAGATTTGCTGTGCAAAGACCCACAAAAACCCATCAAAGACGGATGAGCATTTGAGAGTTTAGTGGTGTAAAACCATCAGCGCTGGTCTGCAGAGAAGTGCAAAAAAGTAATATGATCAGATGAGTCATTCTTCACCACATTCCCCGCAAGTGTGCACGAGTAGGTGCAGCATACACCAAGAGAACAGAACGGGCCGGAATGCCCCCCAACCCCCTCACACACCTTGGTAGACGTCAGTGAGAGTTAAATAAAGTAATGGAAATAGATAAAACAGTGTGAGCTTCTAAGACAGTTTTGAATTGCAACGTACATGTGCTCACAAAGCATATACTTGCATCATTCTGTGACAGACTGACCACAGACCAGGTCATAACATATTAAAGTAAACACAGCTTCATTTGTGCCGGTTTTATTCTCTCATGTGAGCTCAGTGCACATATACGAAAACCTGAATGCTTTAACTTCTTAATTTACTCCTTAATGCTTCAGTAGAGGCTGAAGCTGAACACAAAGTCTAGTTTATCTAGTTGATCAGAAAACTTAAGGCATTTTCACACCTTCAGTCAGTGAAGATTCACTCTGCTGTTATTGAGTCTGAAGCATCTTGACCAACAGCGCTGGCTTGCATTGTCATAGCTTCGCTTGTGCTTGTTGACTCTGATTGACAGTTTGGCCCTTGATTAGTTTCCTTTGTACCACAATCTTGATATTTAGCCCTGCATTACTTAATACTGAGTGATTTGTTTGACAATTACACAGAACTTACAAGCATTGAAAAATCGCCAAGGATAAAAAAACCCAATAAAGGCCATAGGCTTATTTCCACTGTGGTCCTAAAGTGACCTCTGCTTTAGATCTGAGCGAAAGACATCATTAAACTGTGGTTGAAAGTGCACGTTCAGTAAGTGCTCTTGTATTAGTGCGATATGTGAGAGCAACTGTTCTCTGAATGTCAGTGCACTATGTGATCAGACTGTGTCAACAAGAACAGTCTGTCCACAACTGCATATTTATATATACACATTATAGTAGATTTGCTGTGCAAAGACCCACAAAAACCCATCAAAGACGGATGAGCATTTGAGAGTTTAGTGGTGTAAAACCATCAGCGCTGGTCTGCAGAGAAGTGCAAAAAAGTAATATGATCAGATGAGTCATTCTTCACCACATTCCCCGCAAGTGTGCACGAGTAGGTGCAGCATACACCAAGAGAACAGAACGGGCCGGAATGCCCCCCAACCCCCTCACACACCTTGGTAGACGTCAGTGAGAGTTAAATAAAGTAATGGAAATAGATAAAACATAATAAAGTGGCTAATAATGTTGGAAAACTATCAGTAAATGGTAATGAGGAGATTAGTCATTTTATGTTAGCAATGGCTGTAATGGCCACTCCTCCACTGTCCTAGTCCTGGCCCCATGTATATGTATATATCCAGTAAGGTAAAAGCCCATTGATGTCTGTGAACATGTGGGGCTCCAGTGTTTTACTACTAATAGTGTAGCAGCTGTTAAAGGGGAACTCGAAGGTTTGGATGTAAACAAAATCATTCAGAGTGTTTTGGTGTGAAATGCGTCAGTATTGTTCACTATTGTAGTTCTAGGAACCAGACATCTGAACCCTTTAATGGCTCTAAAAGCTACATCCCATGAAGTTATTACACAAAATTGTTATAATTGTGTCGCTTGATACCCGAGACATTTAGACAGGCTAACTATCCGGGTCCAGCGCAGTTCACCACCACTCCGAATAATTAACTAGAAAGGTACAACTGTGATCTATCGCAGCTCCTCTGATGCATAACGTTACTTGCATAAGCGATGAGTTTTGTTGACACCATGTGACAAAATTGGGGTCAACCATATTTAGCACTATTTTGCCATTATCAATGTGACATATAAAACCTTATAAGACACATGTAAGTTCACTGGTCATTTTGGATAGCAGATAAAATGGTGATATTGGTAGTGCAGACATAACGACGTTTGGTTCCTAGTACTACAATAGTGACTGTTGAAAGGCGCATTTCACACCAAACCACTCTGAATGATTTCGCTTACATCTAAACCAGTAAATGACTAAGCAATTTTCCAAAATCGGTGGAGTTCCCCTTTATGTCAGCAAGCCGTAGATTTCTCTGCCATAAAGACAGAAAATGAATGTTCTTCTCTGGTAGGACTAAAAACGTCGAGGGCAAGCTGCCTCCAGAGTGGTGAAGGTCTGGACACTGCTAAAAATACTGCTGCCAGGTGCCTAGTACCCCTTGAGAACATAAGTTCCACATGGGAGAAGTGGCCAGGAGTGTATACCGTATCAAAGGTATGTAATGTAAATACTAAACAATGTGGTGGTTTCGATTTTAGAAGCCATGAGAATCATCTTTCCAGGGTGAGCTGCTAAGAAAGCTTTGATTTGCAAAGTATTCACTCTGTGGGTGTCATTATTAGTGGTCATTGGTGTAGTGTAGTGGGTAACACCACTGCCTTCTACGCTGTAGACTGGGGTTTGATGCACACCTGGTCAAGCACTCTGCGCTATACCAATAATAGTCCTTGGGCAAGACTCCTAACACTTCCTTTGCCTACCTGTGTAAAATGATTAAATTTGTAAGTTGATCTGGGTAAGAGTGTCTGCCAAATGCTGTAAAAATTATTACATGCACTTACAAAGCATACAGATGCATCTCACACCATGCAGTTACAGACTGACCACAGACCAGGTCATAACATACTAAAGTAAACACAGCTTCATTTGTGCCGGTTTTATGATCTTATGTGAGCTCATGTAAGAAAACCTCCTGAATCAGAAGACCCGTTGAAGTGTTTTCACACCTCAGTCAGACTCGACTAGATCAGGATTGAGATGTAACACTTCAATGAGTGTCGTGAAGTTAAACCAAAGCTTATCTTGTTCATCAGAAGACTTGTGAAGATCTTTTCACACACATCTAATCTAGGTTAGGTTGAGCTGTTTTCTGTTCTTCTTTCTCTGTTTCTGTCTCTCTCACCTCAGGCTGGGCTGAGGGAGCCAAGAAAGAAGAAAGTCAGTGAAAAGTCACTCACCTATTACTGAATCTGAAACATCTCACTTCGTTTTAGATTCACTTGTGCTCGTTGACTCTGACTGATTAACTTGCTTTGTACTATAATGTTGATATGTAGTAGTCAAGTATTATTTATATATATTATATATACATATATATATATATACACACACACACACACTATATATATATATATATATATATATATAGAGAGAGAGAGAGAGAGAGAGAGAGAGAGAAGGAAAAAAACATACTTTACTTTTGATGTAAGTCAAAGGAACCAGACGTCTTTTCAAATAATTTTTGGTCATTTCTTTTGGTCCATTCATCATAAAAATGATGTACAATGTAAAGGACAGGCATTTTCAAATTATGTCAAAATGAAGATACAATATATACATATATATATATATTCATACAGAACTTTTACGCATTGCCATAGATTGCCATACATTCCATTGTATTCCTAATGTCATCTCTGCTTTTAGATCTATATGAAAGACATCATTAAACTGTGATGCTCATGTATTAGTGCGATATGTTAGAGCAACTGTTCCACTGAATGTCAGTACAGTATGTGATCAGACTGTGTCAGTAAGAGCAGTCCATCCACAACTACATATTTTTATGTATACATATTAATAATAGAGTTGCTGTGCATAAACCTCTCTGAGACAGATGCGCATTTAAGAGTTTAGTGGTGTAAAACCATCAGCACTGGTCTGCAGAGATGTGGAAAAAAAGCAATAAGGTCAGATGAGTCATTCTTCACCACACTCTCCACGAGTGTGCACAAGCAGATGCAGCATGTACCAAGAGAACAGAACAGGCCAGAATGCCCACCGACCCCCACACCCCCCCTTGGTAGGCTCCCCACCTGCCTTGATAGACAGTGACAGTTACATAAAGTAAATCAAACTAAATGACAGGGCTACTTTTTAATTACACAAATAGAACATATAGAATTCTACAAATATACAACCAACATCAGAGCAATATATCATCACACAGCACCAAGCCAGAGTATAAAAACAGCATCTTCAAACCATCTGAGCAAGCTAAGATATCAAAACCAGCAGAGATATAATCTGTGTTTATACACTGGATAATAACTCTGAGCTCTGTTTTACCGGAAATACCATAGCAGCCGGATAACAACACCCTATCAATCTGGGATACTAAAGCAACCACTTAGCAACACTAGCAAACACCTGGGATACCATAGCAATCCCTTAGCAACACCCTAGCAACGACTTGGGATACTGTACCAATAACCTAGCAACAGTATCGCAACCACTTGGGATACCATAGCAACCACCTAGCAGTATCTTACCAAGCTTAAGCTGCAGAATCACTTTCCATTTTCCTCAGGAAATGCACTGGTCTAGTTCCATTTACTCTTTTTTTCTGTGGGAAGAAGGTTGAGTTGTTTGAAATGATCTGATTCCAAATGTGTACAAGGAGGTATTTTCAGTACAAACCTATCAACTCATTTTGGGCTGTCTGAAAATCTATTCTTAATGAATTGACAAGAACTGTATGTGACAATAACTGAAGGGACAATTTGTTGAAACTTTTTGAAGCTCAGTACTTCATTTATTTTTTACCTCGTTTTTATCTTTATGAGGTACCAAAATTGCAGCATCATCAGCATAAAGGGAAAATGTCTTATGAGCAAGCTATGTTTGAATCATTATTATAGAAAAATAATCAGCCCAAGTTTAGTTGCTTGAGGAACTCCACATGCAGCATCTTTGGAACTTGAGAGTTCACCCCTGCAGTTGTTAATATAGGACCTAAATTCTTTCTGCTTAATGATTCAATATTTTCTGATGGATTATTCTTCATTTGAGAGTTCAGTGGCATAAAACCATGTGCAGCACAGACCAAGAGAATGGAACAGGCCTGAATGTCCCCCCAACCCCCTCACCCCTGCCCACCTTGGTATGCATACCTCACCTTAGCATGCTATAGTGACAGTTCAATATATTAAAATTAATAATGAAAAAAAAAAAGATAAATAGTAATCAATAGTAAATGTAAAGTATAAATAGCAAAGGCAGTGTTCCACTCCTCCACTGTCCCAGCCTTGGCCCCATGCACACAAGCTGTGCAACTTGACAACCACTTAACAGGCTACTGGTTCAATAGGAACAGCGACTAATTGACCTCTGCATTTTGCTGGCATGGTTTGGGTTCACTTGTCCCCTTAGAGTGAAGGGTCACTGAAAATCAATGCAACGTTATTCTGACTGGTCACGTTTATCCAAGTGATGAAACATTTCTATTTGGATGGGAGTGGTGGCTTCCAGGATGATGATGTTACCATTCACAGGACATGAGGGGTCACTGAATGTTTTGATCAGTATGAAAGTGATGTAAATCATATGCTACGACCTTCTCAGTCATCAGATCTCAACCCAGTTGACACCTATGATAAATTTTGGACAGACATCATGGAAACACTAATTGAGCAATATTCTAAAATCCACAATTTACAAACCCAATTCAAAAAATTGGAACAATAGGTAAAATGCAAATGAAGAAAGATGTGATTTGGATCTATTTCAGATGTATTTAACATCTTCACCAGCAGCCTGCCAGGTGGGAAGAAAGAGGTGAGATTGTCTGTGGACATATTTCTCTTATATTCAAACCAAAAGAGAGTATCGTTCCCAATGAGAATGGAGTGCCGTGTAGATTCAAGATTGACAATAAAAGACACAGCCAATTTGAAAAGACACCCAAAGACACACCATCCCACAGTATTTGTCAAGGTAAATATTGTGGTGTGAGTGTAGAAGATGCAGGAAACATCCCAGCAGGCACTGGACGTCAATATGATGTCAGAAAGACGTTGAACTCTAACATCGGACAGACATTGAATTTTAGTTGAAAATGAAAATTGGGTCAACGTCAGCCTCCAAGTCAGCTATCCATCAAAAACCAGCACTGGCTTGCCGTAAACCTCGACATTAAAAGACATTAAACTTTGGTTGGGAATCAAAACTGAACAACGTTAGGTTTATATCAAGCTCCAATGTTAGACAGAGGGAGTGGGAAACCATAGCTGCGGTGTCCAGGGAGCATTTGGGTGCCTTGCTCAAGTCAGAGTCAGGGATTGAGCTGCCAACTCTGCGATGAACTGGCATCCTACTCTACCACCTGAGTCACGGCTGCCCCAACCAAATCCACCGGTCATAGAGTCACAACTAAGCTATGGAGGAACAGTCATGAAAACATCCAGAGCTTAATCAGACATGGGTATTGTGGAAAATGTAGGTTTCTCTGTTTTCAAAAACATCTTGGTCAACACAAAAACACTGAAAACGGAGGTCTCAAAAATGACCAAAACACAGAGAAAAAAATGTTTTGAATAATAAAAATGCGCTTTAGTTTTAGCCGCTTTACTTTTTCTAGCCTCTACAAATTGGGCATGTTCAGCAGGGTGACGGTGTTTGAAGTGTCTAAGTTTGTCGTTCTGAATGTTTGCATGGTTGTTCCTCCACAGCGTATTCATGACTGATTTCAAGACCACGGTTCAGTGGTAGAGCAGTTTGTTCACCCATTGCAGGGTTGGCAGTTCAATCCCTCACTCCTTCTGTCCATGGCTGAAGTGCCCTTGAGCAAGGCACCCAAATGCTCCCCAGGCACCACAGCTATGGCTGGCCACGCCTCCTATCTAATGTAACATTATGTGTCATAGTGACATTTTTACATGATGGATGAAAGAAGTACAGTAGGTCACTAACAGTCCAAGGTTTGTTTTCTTCCCATGGAATTTTACAGCCAGGAGAAACATCCTTCAGCTAAATCCATTACAGTATCATATCAACTGTCTGAGAAAATGACTAAATCTGAGTTCCACTGACTAAATCCTGACTAAAAACAAAACAGACTAAAATGTGACTTTAAACCAACTACAATTTTCAGGAAATGACTAAAATTGAATTTAAAATTCTTGTCAAAATTAACATTACATAATTATTTATTGCATTTTTGCTTATGTGACTGAAATGAACATTATGTAACTATGCAAGTAGTGTAAATTTCAAATTTTAAAAATTTCTTTTCTGAGTATACAGTTATATGCAAAAGTTTGGGCACCCTGGTCAAATGGCATGTTATGTTGATTTTCTAAATGAAAATAAGTGAACACATCCTCTACAGAGACACACTTCTGCACACTTCAATGCACAAATTATTGCCTATTTGCTAAATTTAACACATTGGGCAAAACGAAAATAAAGTAAAAAAAAAATAATAACAAAGAAATAAAATATGGCCTGTGCAAAAGGATGACACATTTGATCTTTTGAAATTTTTTTCCTATATTTTAAATACAAATATAACATGCAAATATAAATAAACAGAAATTTTGCACTAAAGGTTACAGAATGCAAATGCCAAACTGAAGTGTGTTCTCAGTAGTTAAATTATTCTCTGTATGTTCAATTATTTTCACTTAGAAAACATTTGTTCAAACATTTGCGTATTTGTACGACTGTACAGTAGAGAACATGTTCTGTAAAATACACACACAAAGTACAGCAGAATATAATAATTACAGGAGTTAACCATGTAAACTAAGCAATGCAATGACAAAAATCACATTTACACTGCTTATTTTCACCATTTTGTCTCTGGAAGGGGCACGTGGCATCTACATCACACACAGTCAGCTGTCTGTCTGTCTGTCTGTCTGTCTGTCTATCTATCTATCTATCATTCACACCTCAGTCAGGGCAGAAGAAGTCCAGAGTTAAGAGGTCTCTCTTATCTCTTCACCTTTAACTCACTCTGTTCTCTCTCTCTCTCTCTCTCTCTCTCTCTCTCTTTCTCTTTCTCTCTCTCACTCTCTCTCTTTCTCTCTCTCTCTCTCTCTCTCTCAATCTCTCTCTTTCTCTCTCTCTCTTTCACACCTGCAGGTTGCAGGGCCTATAAAAGTCAGGGTAGAGTCACTGAGCTGTTACTGAGTCTGAAATGTTCAACAGGACTCTTCTTGGACATTTTGCTAGTGAGACTCACAGCACTGCAAACTTCTAACCAGGTAAACCTCATTTATTAGATTTGTGGAAATAACACTAAAAAAAAACAGAGAAAAAAACTCACAGAACTGCAGTGATCCTTCCGAGTATATAGAGGTGTTAGAGAGGGTTAGAGGTGATACAGTTTGGTGGGAATAGAATTTATGGGGAGGTGTTTTATGGGGTGCTGACATTTTTAACAATGCACAAGTAAAAACTAAATACTATGTGATTTTTTTCATATTGTGTGGATCATTTATATGAAGCGGAACATAATAAGCAAACCCTGCTGCCTCTTGCTGCTGTGATCTTTTACTGAATGAGGTTTATGCAAATAAGCTGAGCGTCAACCAATCAGACTGTGACATGAGGAGAGAAATGCTTCTGGCACTCCCAAGCTCCACTGACATATCCAGCTGGACATTATTACAGTGGTTGAAAATGGATGATAATTGGCTGAACATTGACAGTATTTCAAACAATATTAGGCCACATTCAGGCACAGAAATAGCCAAAGTGGTCGACAGTTGGTGTGGGGAATGACTCAAATGTAGAGTTAAGCTAAGAATCCCTCCGAAATCCCTCCTTTAAAGGGCCGGACCCTACAGCACAGACAGAGTGACAGCAGTTCTGGCTGTTGTAAATGTGATGTTTAAACCTGTATTCATTCTTTCAACCCTGCAGCCTGTAAAAATAGTGTTTTTCAATTCAAGGGTGTATTTCTTCTTTTTGCTCATGATAACAGGCAGGGCGGCTCCCTGAAAGGACAAAACACTCCTGGTTCAGTGCAAAAAACTGAGTAAATGTAAGTAACTATGACCACCTCAGTTTAACAACCTATAGTTATCACATCACTAAAGCTCTTTGACGTATAACACAGCCTACACAATGTCTAATATCTAAAAAACTCAACAAAAAATGTAAGCAAATCTATTTATTCATGTATTATAGAACACATTATAATTTTTCTCTTTATACATACTTGTCACTCTCTCTCTCTTTCAGGATGAGGCTTTCTGTTCTTCTGACGTTCCTCTTAGCTCTGGCTTGCAGCTCTGGCTCTGGTTCACGCTGTCAGACAGCTTGGAATAAACAAGACGGCTACAATGAATTCTCAGAAAAGCACATTCTGTCAATGAATATTAAAAAAAACCCGAAAGTGAAAGAACTGAATGAAATATTTGAAAGATACCTACAAAAACACAAACTCTGTGGAAGAGTACCTTTGCAGACCTTCTTTAAACAGTCTGACAGAAAAAGAGTTGAAAGCATCTGTAACGGTCAAGGCTTTGAAGACGGTTCTGGAAATCTGTGCATCAGTGAGCACAGGTTCACTGTTTACATGGTGGAAAGCAGGAAAGTCAAAAGTGGTTGTAAAGTGAAGAAAATCAATACTGAGAAACTGTATGTGGTTGTTGGCTGTGGAAAGGTTAAAAACAAATGTCTGCCTGTCCACTTTGAAAATCAGACTAAAGTGGCACCAAACAAAAAAGCTGCCCGCTGTAAACCAACTCAGCTCACTCATCCTGCTCTTACAAACAAAACCTTATTGTTCAATTACTCATCTTCATCTTCACACCAGAGACGGGCGTCTACTTTCATGCTTTTCCCCGTTGGATAAAAGTCTCTGCTTTATATATGAATGCTAATTATATTTCATGAAGAAGGTAGAACATTTAAAGAATGAGGATTCTGATGTTTTACTGCTTTTATTATGATATTATAAACGTCCTCAAATTAAATGGTGAATATGGTTAAAGTTATGATGTACAGAATGCAACTACTACTGAATGTCTGTACTGTAAATAAGAAAAAAGATGTGAGAACATTCTGTACTCAAGAAACTGGTGAAAAAAAGTTTGGTTTTATTTCATTTTATAGCATTTTTTGCTTTATACTGTTGCATTAAAAATATGAATCAACAATGTGATTAATGCAAAATGTGGCCTGAGTCATTTCTTTACCTGATTATGATCACTAAACACTGATTTATTCTAAATGCAAACTGATTGCATTTAAAAAGAGTTAATGTTACTGTAATATTAATTATTGTAATCTGCTCTGAGTCTCTGATTTAGTCAGATTTCATTCAAATGTTCCTACACACAATGCAAAAGTTTGAGCACCCCAGTCATATTCCACATTTTCCATTGACTTTCTAAGTGAAACTAAGTTAACCTCTACAGAGAACTCACTTCTACACATTTAATGCACTATTACTATTGAGTTTACAATAAAAATCATCAAGACATAGAAATATCAAATGTGGCCTGTGCAAAAGTTATGGTACCTTGTAAAATGGTAAAATTAGCATAAAATGCAAAATCGACAAAACATACAATGCAGGTGTTCAACAGGAGTGGGTCTACAGAGTGGCAGTGAGCCCCCTTCCGTGGCATTGCACCCCACTTGCCGCTCCAACTCTGCAGCTGATGCAAAATTATACAACACATTAAGTTAAATGCGACGTGTCTGCACTCCAACAACATGAAGCCCACAGAACACAGTTGTCTGGCTGTCTTGTCTCTCTGATTCCTGAGAGGCGGCTCTCTGCCTCCCTCTAGTGTTGGTTTTAGGTCTTACCGCAGGCTTGGTGACAGTGACCCCTGCCTGTGGCAGACCCCTCACAGAGGCAGATGTGGTCTCACAAGGCCTGTGGGCAGAAGAATCTTTGAAGGCCACTCCAACAATAACACATACAATAGTGAAAACCACAGCTGTATGCAAAAGTGTATATTGTGTATTGGGAAAAAATACACACCCAATTCCAGAAAGATTGGGGCAGTAGGTAAAATGTACATAAAAACAGAAAGCAGTGATGTGTAAATCTACAAAGAGAAGATATGTAATGTTTAACCTTAACTTTATTACTTTTGTAAACATATGTTCGTTTTGAAATTGGTGCTTACAACATGTTCCAGAAAAGTTGTGACAGAGGCAACTTAAGATTAGGAACATTGTGAAATGTACAAAAACATCCCAAACAGGCGATGCAATCATGCTTGGGTATGAAAGGAGTATCCAGACCGGGTCCTGTATAAACATGGTAGGTCAAGGCTCGCCACTTCCAACAGTTTAAACAGAAAGTTCCTCAACTAGGGACTGAAAGTATTTTAGGTATTTCACCCTCTATAGTGCAGAATAACATCAAAAGACTGCATAATCAGAGAGTGAGAGTGCAAGACTGACCTGCTTACAGTCCAGAACTGTCTTTCATTCAAACAGTGTGCTATGTTGTCAGTAGCTCCAAGCAGAAGTTGTCCCAGAACTGCAGCCCAAGCTCTCAGAGTTCTACCTTCAGTCCAGTCCTGATCTACACTAGTAAGAGTTTGTATATCTAATGTAAAGATGCTGTGGCAGGTGGGTGGTTCTAAAGATGTGATAAGAATTGAATAAGAATATGACATCCTGTTTCAATGACAGCTAAAGGAAATATAACAAAGTATAGTAATTTCTAGTTTATAAGAACATCAGCTTACATCAACGTGAATGTCTGGCCTAATTTTGGGTGGGAATGTAATGTTTTAGGGTGGGAACAAACTTTGCAATGGTGGGGCTTAAAGGCTCAAAGTAGGGGACAATGATACCCTGGTCAGCACTATCTGATTGCCTGTCGTTATATATTTTTTTTTTACATATTTACCTCCTGTAGATGAGGTTGTATTCAGTAAGTGGTGAAACAGAGAAAGATTTAAACCCCTGTTTAGTTTTTATGGTCCTTACTGTGAATCTGCCAAACACCTGTTTTTCATGTACATATGTCTGAGAACCATACCGGGCTGCACATGGAACCATTACCTGAGTGTGTTCATTGATTTGGGATGTTTCAATCAAATCATTATCCAAAAATGGTTTAACAAACTTGGACAGAATATCTGCACGTTTGTCTGAATCCTTTCCACAAATAGTTTTAGGATTGCCAGAAAAAGCACCGTGGCAGTGGATGTGAATGAATAACTCTTTAGCAGAGGATACCAGTAAGGATACGAACTTCAGATCCTGATCAGTTTTGATTTCATCATTTATCTTTCCAAAAATGTCATCCTTGGGTAATTTCTTTATGTATTGTACATCAGCTCTACCATCATCACTGTAAACGTGTATGTGAACACTTGGCTCTTTCCATAAACTTTAAGCTTTTTATTCTCCAGGTTGTCAACAAGGTGACCTGTAAAAGCCTCTCTTTCTTTTGCCGTCCCACAGCTGTCTGGAAGTTCGACTCTGATTCTTTGCTCTGGATGTGTTTCCACATCCTGAACTCGCAACAGCTTCAACAAAATGTCGGCTAAACCCTGCGCTGTGTGTGAACCCACTTTTCTGATCAGAAGTACAAGCAGATATTAGTTCAACAGCCACTAAATCTGCCTCCTGGATTTTCACTTGAAATATATTTACAGGCTTTAGTTCAGTTCTCCATGCAGTAAACACTGACCTGAAGCTGAATGCATTGAGTTAGGTTTAGGAGTAGGTGTAGGTTTAGTGTTGAAGTTAGGGTCAGGGTTAGGTTTAGGAGTAGGTGTAGGTTTAGTGTTAAGTTAGGGTCAGGGTTAGGTTTAGGAGTAGGTGTAGGTTTAGTGTTGAAGTTAAGGTCAGGGTTAGGTTTAGGAGTAGGTGTAGGTTTAGAAACTAAGTTAATGTTAGGGTTAAGGTTAGGGACCGGCGCTGGGAATGACGGCGTGAGGTGTAACGGCCGGAGGAGCCAGGTGCAGCTTGTCACACATCTGGCCTGTGGCTCCGCCTTGGCCCAAGGCCACTACCATTTGAGGCGAGGTTTTGCGTGCGCACCTCCCTTAGCCCGGCCTCCAGGCAAGATGGTGGTAAGCAGCACACAGACACATGCCGCATGGTCTCTCTCTTTGCTGCTGGTTTTTCTGTGCTCCAAGTGAAGGTTTTTACGCCTTGCTTTTTGCAGAGGGAATGCCCGATCTGCGGACACACGTTCACGGTCATGACCCACCACCTCACCCGCCGGCACCGGGTGGAAAACAAGGAAGAGCTGGCCCTCCTCCTCGCTCTCGCTACCGGGAGGTTCAAGGGACGCTTGAGCTGCCCCGTATGTGACAAAGCGCAGCTGGCCAGGTTAGATCGGCACCTGTCCAAGACCCACAAGATTGCGGGGAAGGACTGGGAGCAGATGCTAAATGAGGCCAAGCGCGAGTGAATCATACAGGGGCTTAGGGAGCTCAGGTCCCGCGCACCAACACCAGCCCTGGTGAGCGAGTTGGATCTGGGCACGACCGTGAGAGCGTGCGCCGCCGACCCCGACACCACCTCTGACGCCACCGAGCCTCCTACAGCGAGCCATTCGCATCGCCACCTGTTGCAAGTGCCTGAACGACTTGCAACAGATCCGTGAGTAAGTTCCAACTTGGCCCAGATTTTTGTTTAAGCCATGCACCACCAAGATCACGAGGCCCGCTTCCCTTCTCTTACAGGTGGGCCCGTTACACCTCCGCCTCCATCAAGAATATGCTGCTGAATGTGAGCGCCTTGGTAAGGCACGTAAGGACCTTCTACGCGGAGAAGTCCGGCCTGAGCAGCGAGCAGTTTGAGCGCGTCCTGCTCCAGCTCAAAAAGCTTCAGAAGGACAACTCCCGGAGGATTAAGGCCCACCAGCAGATGATCAAGTGGAAGAAGTCGAGTGAGTATACCACAGTATTATGTATTAGGCTTTATGGCGGTCGCCTCATCCTTTTTTCCACCTTACAGAACTCCTGAGGCCCAGCAGTGATTTGGGGACCTTCATGCACATCGCCTCGTATAAGGTCCCCAAGCTGACCGGTAAG